TTTCTTTATGCCTGCATCATCAACACTGTACTTCTTCTCTCGAATGTCCCAGATTGCCTTGGCACTTCTTTCTTTAAGAAACATGTCAAACAATTTGTTAGATAGATGGTTGAGAAGATGTCCTCGTACAGTCTTGTTATCTTTCTCGTGTTTCTCGGTAGCAGCGGCTAAGGCGATATTAGACTGGACTACGTCTGCATTTTCTTCGATAATTGAGGTGATTGGTGGAATGGTAGGTGGTGGCTTGAGCAAAACGTAATCTAGGTCAAGCTAGTCGAAGATTATCAGTATCCGCTGGGACCACCTCCAGTAATTCTTTCCTTCGAGTGCGTCAAGCTTGGAAAGATCAAGAATCAGCTTACTCAAAGGTGATGTCATATTTGCAGTATATAAATTAGTTTCTAAATTATTGGTAATATTGACTGAAAAATCACACCGTTAGCACTGACAGAAAATAAATAAATAAATAAATAACTTGAATCAACCGAAATTGTGTCATGGTAAAAACTACTACCTTAGAAACTAATTTTCCCCGAGGTGTGTAATCGCTCCAATAGGCGGATTGTCCCCCAAGGTTAGCACGGTCTCTCAAAATTTCATACATCCAAAACCAGAGTGGACTACTGGTGGTATTGCTCCTTTGATCGTCGGAAAGACTCAGAAGCTTAGAAAGCTTTGAAAGAGTTTAGAGATGTTTAAGTGAATTGTAGGGTGAGTTGAGAAGCCAAACGAGCTCTCTATTTATAGGATGCGTCCAGGGTAAAAACGTCCAAGAAAAATCAGAATTAAAATTCTGATTTAATTCTAGAAATTTAAACCTTTGTATCTCCTGATATTAATCATATAAAACTGCTGAAATAACACAATGAACCTGGCCCTCAGCACGTGCAGATTCATTCTGTAAAATCCTGCCCATTTGTAACTCCATAAATAATTTTTTTAACTCTTGTAACTGGCCCATTAACAGCTTGTTCCTTATCTTGAACAAGGTTGTGAAATAGTCCAGGTTCATCCAAACGTTTCTCTCACTAATATTAAAAAATTTTGAATTATTATTTTAGAAATCAATACAAGCAATCATTTAATAATATGTTACCCTCTGAAATTATAGAATTCAAACATACCTATTGGGCACCCTATAAATACCAGAAGAAATGTTCCTTTACAATCCTTTCTTTTGTTCTGTGAATTCCTTATGAATTTTCTCTAAAAAGATAGAATCTGCGCGAACATGTCGAAGACACGTATTGCCACGAGTAATACCTCAACCTCGACCACAAGCCGAGATGAGATGGACGAACGACGGCGGCAGCAATGCGTGAGAAGCCCCTTTGTTCTCCATCACTCAACAAGGAAATGGAGAATGAAAGACTAAAATATCCAATCCCAATGTATTTTCTCACTCAATGTGGGATTGAGCATTACTAACACAGGTTTATTGTGAAAAGAGAATTATATATGTTGGAGACATAAGGTGAACGTGATGCATTAGCATCATTCTACCGAACTTTATAATTCATACTAGAGTCTTTGAGTTATATCGTTAGCCATTATCGTTTACATGTGTAAGAGATATTACCATACTCTACGATTCATACCGAGGCATTATAAAGAGATTTGAATATCCATTATTTTCATAAAGCTTCATGTGATTCAAGAGAACTAATATATCAAAAATGATTATTACAAGTATTGTTGCTAAGTTACATACGGTGTACTGGATATAGATAGCATAATTTACAAGTACAAAAGCATATAGTATGTTCTTATGTAACCGATGTGGAAGTGTTGGCTTAATAGTAGTTATGGTCGTTCATTGAGTTCATTAGAACTCACACCCATTGTTTAACGTGCATATTCTAAAGCTAACTAAAGAGTGAAAGGCACGAAAAGTGAAGAAGAATTCTTAAGACACTTGGTAAATAAATGTCTAAATGTTTCGCATTTGATGTTTTCGTTGGTTTGGACAAACCACATAGCATTCATGGTATGTCAAACATGTTAAATTAGGTAAATGACACGATTTACCTAAAATAACTATAGGCATGCCTAAAAACTAACCTTAAAGTGAATAGTTGGACATTTAATTCTCAAAGCATGAGTGATTGTTAATTGAGTGTTACAAAGCATGGTATATTAATTTCTCTTGAGCTCTTCATTTGGTACTTCTCTTGAGCTCTTCATTGATATGTTTAATTTCTAGTTAATCTAGTTTTCATTTTGGTCCTCAAATCCTAATTGATCTGGAAGTTGGAAATTAGGGTCTCTTAGCTCAAATTGATGGTCCATAAATGAGAATCAAAGAATATTTCATTTATTGGCTTGGTTTTTAAATTTATGATCAATGGTAAGATTAAACCCTAAACCCTTTTTTGGTTAGTCATTTAGGTTAAATTGTGAAATATTGAATTATTTGTGATGATATTGTGATTTATTGTTAGATAAAGATTTGATTGAAGAAGCTACTACCCGAAAGGGGAAATCAAATGCCTCCGAAGTGGTTTAGTGATTTGGGGCATTTCGTAAGTTGTTCAATGGGTGTAGTCATAATCGAGTTTGCTGTCATGTATGATATCTTGGAGTATTTTTAATGATAATTTGAATGATTAGGTTAAATGCTTGAAAAGCTCATACAGAGAAATGTTGGATGGCAATTCATGTATGGTAAGCTTATAGTTAGCTTAGTTTAAGTATATGGTATGATAATTTGTTTGCAAGTTGATATATGTATTCTATATGATGATCATGAATATAAACATGTTAAAGAGTTTCATATGCCAAGTATGTACAAGGATTTTGATGCCTAATCTGAACCAATTGTGGAGCTTAATTCTCAATGATGTTAAGTTATAATTCATGCTATCATGTTATGGAAGTTTAAGTACATTATGTAAATTGACATGAAAAGTAAGCTTAAACATGATATCTAATCGCACTTGTACATTATTTGAGTGAGAGATATGTTGGCATGCCATAGAATCCATTAGCTCATATACGGGTTTATGTATGACTTCGATCGTTTTGGCGATGATGTCGGGATGTGTGTAGTTGGTCTTTGGCGATGGTGGTGAGTATGACCATTTATGTTTTGTTTTGGTGATACTGTAGGGATTTATATATCTATAGTACCTTATGCTCCAAGAAAGAACTAATATGTGTATTTATATATGTATAAGAGTATGATTCAAGTCGATGATATTATATGAGTTATGAAACTGCCATAAGAATGATTATGTTATTTGCTATCCATAGTTATTCAGCGTCTTGTGACTACCTCACTAAGCTATATAAGCTTATGTTGTTTATTTAATGACCTTGCAGGTAAATAGAACTCGTAGATTGTTCAGGATTGCATTTTAAGCATTGCAAGTCACTCTCGATATAATCAATGTAAATGTCATTTGAATGTGAAAAAATTGTGTAAATATGTTTATATGTCATTTTTTCTTGATTATATATGTTTGATGAAGTTCAAGTATAGTTATGGCATGGCTTGATGATGATATGATTGCTTAAGTTCAATGATACAATAATGGTATGAATAATTCTAGATATGCATAAGTTATATTGTATGATCATAATGAATTGGATATATGATGTTTAAGTGCAAAATGTGATGAAAGTAAGCATGATTATTGGGTGATTGTATACATAATTGAATGTGATGCTACTTAGATGTTATGAAGTGATTTTGCAATGTTTGTCAGCATGGTTTAAGTAGCATATAAGACATAGTATGTTTCGTTGGTGTTTGAACATATTTGCTAGGTGAAAATGATCCAAATAGTGCATTTGGTACCGGTATTGTACATGTAGTATTGATACCATAGCTAAAATTGAAATTACAGTAAGTTAATTTGATACCGATATCAAACTCGAGAATCAGTATTGCATCTTGTGGTTGTGTTGAATCTTAGTATCAGTACTGAAATTATGTTCGATGTCATGAGATATCGATACTAAGGTTAAAGTATCGATACACATACAATGATATTGATACCAACGGTTCCAAATAGGTGCATTATTCAAGATAGTCCCTATTTGACATATAAGCAATTTTATAAACTTATAATGATGATTTGACATACTTAAAGGTCACAATTGAGCTATTTATTCATTAATTTGACTTAGTAGATTCTACGGATTAACCTCATTAAATTAGCATTAAATTATATTTAGGTATTTGAACTTTTAAAAAATTATAATTTAATTCCCAAGAATGATATCATTTTGAAATTTGTTAATGATTGATGAAGTCTTATGATTTTTGGTTTAATTTAGATTTGTTTTCAAATAATAATACTTAAATTTAGTAATAATCAAAAATCAAAATTTAAAATATGATTTTTTTTTATAAATATTAGATGAATACAAGATAGTATATGTCCAAAAACTCTCAATCAGTTGACAATAAAATCTCATACTCCTATAAATGCTCAGACACGGGATCTATAGGGAGAATAACAAGTCCCTTAACCAGTAAGGTTGTAAATGAGATGATACAGATAGTGAACTACTCGAGTTTGACTCGATCAAAGTTTGGTCAACTCTCAAATGTAATGAACTCAATTCTAGCTCAAACTCAACTCAAGTTCTTAAAGAATCGAAATGAACTACTTGATACTCAAATAAAAAAATGACAAGCAACTCAAATAAAATAATATATTAAATTTTAATCTTTTTAAACTTAAATTATTAATAATATTAATATTTATATGTTTTTTTAAAAGTACAATATAAGATTTTTTATGATACTTAAAGTTCAAGTTCGAGTTTGAGTTCAAGCTTCAATCGAGATAAGTCTAAGAATGTTTCGAGTTCAAAAAAATTTTAGCTCGAGTCAAGCTTCAATTTTTTTTATTTTGAGTCGAGCTTGACAATTTTAAATATGCGGATTTTCAAGTCGAATCAAGCTCATCTTTAAACTTTTCAAGTCAATTCGAACTCAAAAAAAACCCGAGCTCAACTATACTCGTTTACATCCCAACAAACCACTACTATCCAAAGCTAAACACGGGATTTGCCAACGGACTGCTTACATCACATATACATCTTATACGTCTTCATCTTCAATGTTGAGGCATGACCACCTTTCTGTCCATTTACAGCCCTATTTGAGGGGCAAAAGGAGGCGTATTTTACCAGAGAAAATTGTTTGCATACCTTGTTACAAGTGCAATCCTTAAATCCTTAAATCAACATTGCTCAATCTTCATCGGAATCATGAACAATGCTAGACCTTTTCGCCCTCTTGATAGTTGGGACATCAGCAGCTCCATCATCATCAGCAGCATCGGTTTCAGACTCCACTTGTTCATGTGACAACACCTTATATGAACCATTTTCACCATTGTTGTTGTCATCTTCAGAGTCGCTGCATGTTTCGTTCTCATTGTCATTTCCATGTCCACCATTGGTGGGAACATCTTGTCCTACAACATTTGTTGTTGGGTCCAAGATTTTGAAGTCTCGTGAAGTGCTGCGTTTAGCATGTTTCAATAAGTTCATCTTCGTGGCTTTGCTGAGTCGAATCAGATGTTTTTCATAATCTTCAATCTGAAATATCAGCTCCGGGATGCATTTGTTCTCCCTCTTGATCTTGTTTACCATTCCTTTGCTGTTTGTGCTCCCTTGTTGAGCCTGCAACTCATATTTATATCAATGAGATCTAATTGTTCAAGCAAAAATCACAAGCAAAACTGAATAAAAGACTAGGGGTGTAAAAGGTCAAGCTCAGCTTAAGCTGCATCAATCTCAAGCTCAAGATCACTCGAGAAGCTCTGCTTTAGCCTGATCAAGTTTCACTTCTAAAACTCAAACTTGATTCAAGTGTTGAACCCTAAACCAAGCTCAAGTTGTAAGATTTTCAACCTTCGAGCTTGGCTTTAGCTCGAGCAACTTGAGCTTGGGTCCATTTTCGAGTCGAAACCGAGTAGCTTGTGAGCATAGATTCACTATTTACACCTGTATAAGAAAACAGCAAAAATGGCAGCAAGAGTTAGTTATATACTTGTTGCATCTCTGCCACGAAGTTATAGAGTGGAACGGTGAGCTCCTTGCAAGTTAGTTCAACAAGCTTCTGGAATTGAAGGCTTGGTAAGAGCTGCTTGTGACCTTTAGGAGCAATCCTGAGCTTTGAAATCTGAGCTAAATTCTTGTAAAATCTTGCAGTTAATCTAAGAAAATGCTCTGCTTGACTATCTGTATTGTATAAGATCATAAATTCAGTTTGAAAAATGAGGGAAAAGTTGAGATTTTGACGCTAATTGCAAAGTTCATACTTACCCTTGAGGCTCATCAAAACAAAAGAAGATAAAAGCTCGACAACAGCTTTAACCCTCGAATAAACATTTTCCTCGAATACAAAACCCGGATAACACTCTCTGTTCTGGCTTTGATGAATGGTTCTGTGAGAAAATTGTGAAGCTGACTTTAGTTTTTTAGTTGACCAATCCATGTCTAAAATGACAGTGTCTGTTATTTGAAATAGACAAGAAGCTATAGCACTGGCTGTTGATTGGTTTATGACGAGGTATTCCGAGACTTGAGATGAGTCGCTGTTGTTTGATCCTATAAACTTTAGTAGCTCCTTTAACATGTCTTGAGCCACAAGCAAATCTGTTGGTGGTGAGCTCAAATTGATGGCTAGTCTAACCATGGTTTTCGCAATGCTAGAGTTCGTTGTCTTGTACGATTTGCAAGTATGAATAGCCCAATCTCCATGAGAGTTTGTCCATTTGCAGGGCAATTTGTGACAAATCATCAACATGACATCACAAAGAATCTGAAAAACAAAGAATTACTCTTTGATTGTTTTTGTTTCTAAAAGTAACACCACTTTTAATCAAAGGAAATAATCATTCATACCTCAACAGTACGAAGAGCTGATAGTTTCACAAGATCCATGAGCAACGGCTTCAAATATCTCCGAATGAATAACTCTTTGCTTCTTATATCTTGGTCATCAATTTCAGAGGCTTGATCACATTCATCATGCAAATCAACATTCTTGAGTTCAGGAACCAACAACAGATTTTCAAGCAATTGAGTCAAACGAGAACCGCTCAAACTGATTGTTATCATTTCCTTCAGGGAAAGTAAAGCAAGATGGAGATATTCCTTTCTTCCCTCAGAATCTTTTTTCCCCTTGCTTTCTTTTTTCTTCTGACTAGTTGTGACATTTGAACCCAGTTTGAGCAAAAGTGTTAATCTAAGCAAAGGAGGCCCCAGCATATTGATTTCCCCATAGATCAACTTCTTCACCGGATCATCATTTCCCTTGGTGACTAAAGATTTTACATGATGAAGGGAAGCATTCAAAGCAAACAAAACAATCTTACAACATGTTGATGTCTTGCTCAAGGATGACTGGCTATGATTCTGTGAAGCTGCTTCGATGTCAGAGCTTTCCATACTGTATAGCTTCAGTGCTATTAGCAATAACTGATAGATGCTTGACGTTGCCAAGAAAGGGGTATGCTCTTGTGTCAATTTGGTGTTGCCTGAGTCAAGGTTATCCGTTGTATCATTTGCAGTAGCTCGTAAATTTGGTCTTTTGCCAGCATTGCTTTGTCTTGAAGTACTTGCCTCCTTTGCCAATGAATCATGAAGGTCAATAAATTGAATAATCTCCTTTTCAAGTTCAACCTTCTTTTGATCCGTTGCTTTCTCCAAATCCATTGCAATGGCATTCAATACCACCTCAACAACTCCAGACAAAATTAACGCGCAACATTTCCGTTTCTCTTCAAGAGCAGATACAGAGCCATCATGAGTAGATGCAGAGCCATCACGAGTACAACCAAGAATGTCTGTTTCAATATGAACGTGACAGAATTAGTAACAAGCAAGAAATATAGTTCAACTAAAACCAGCAGAGTCTAAAGCCATTATATCCTAGAAATTAAACTATGGTACTATTAGTAAGTCTTCTTTTTGTCTTCTTCATAATTCATATCCAAATAAAAAGATAAAAACAATATAAAAGTTTTAGAAAACTTTCAAACCTTCCAAATTTGCATTTCTTAGAAATTAAAGTACGGTACTATTAATAAGTCCTGTTTTCTTCATAGTTCATATCCAAATAGAAATGTACAAACAATATAAAAGATAGAAAACCTTCGAACCTTCCAAATTTGCATTTCTTAGAAACTTTCGAATCTTCAATAAAGCACCAGTAAACACCTCAGTAGACATGTTCCTAACATCCTGCAGTAGTTTCAGATTATGAATTTATGATATGAGACTCCATTCTGTGACTTTTAGATAATAAAAAAATCATATTTCATCTTCAACACCATGGATTGAGTTCAATGAGGACAATACCTCATTCTCTTGAGAAAGGGAGAAACCGAAACACGCCCCAATAGAATCCAAGGGTTGATTGGTTTTGCCATGTGTCTGAAGAAGCAAAATCCAGGAAACACAAGAAAGAAGGCTATCCAGGGGCTCCTGAATAATTACTTTGCCATTTTCCAACCTAATGCAAGAGCTGACTCCTAATTGGACATCTGAACCCTGTAGAGATCGTATTTCAAGTCAAATTTTCAACTGCAGGATTTAATAATGACATAACCACACATCAATCCTCTAATTTGCAACATGAATAACAGTAACACAATATGTTCTAAACTTAGGACATATGTTACTCCAACTTGTCATTTTCTGTCTCTGTCAAGTGCCCAAGTCTAACAGTTTCCAACACATATTCAAACATGGATATTAAGGTCCAATCCTCCAAATATAAGGTAAAACATAGAAAAACATTGAGCGTACCTAAACACAACTTTCACCTTTGAGTCCAAGTAACTTAGTTCAGGATTACTACAAGCTTTACATAAGGAAATTTTGAAACTTCAATAACTACCTCTTTGAAAAACTGCAGAAAATGAGGTAAGAGAAAATCAAAGACTAGCCCTCCAATTGCCGGATCCGCTAGAACAAGCTTCACTAGTCCTTGATACATCACTTCCTTCACCTTTGCCTAAATGCAGCAATTTCACACCATTTAGACACATACTTCAAAAAGATAAAATAAAATAAAATAAACCCTGTAAAGTTAAAATATAAAATTACCTGCTGATATAAACATCTCTGCAGCAAAGCACTCAACTCCTGAAATAGATCTCCCCCCATACTGCAAGGTATGTCAGCTTGCTGACTGCAGCTTGCTTGACTTGACGAGTCCTGGAGAGAAAACAAGCCACCCTCCTTAGGTTGCTTCTCTGCAAGTATAAGTTCAATAATAGAATTTGTTGCTGCAACACGAACTGTATCTTCTCTTCTGAAAAAAGCCTTGCGCACAGCCAAAATAGTGTAATCCTGGAGGGTCGAAGCAAACAATTAAATTATAAGCGTTCTACATATGTGGTAAATCTTTCACTTAAAGATACGACACTGATCTTTGGGATTGCAAATCACTGATCAGAAACTGAAACATAAACACTAACAGATTTACTTGAGGCAAAATCAGATTTCTCTATTCTAGAAACATTATGTTTCTTATAAGTAACTTCATAAGTTAAAAGCAGATTGTCTATGCCCATTAAACAGTGCTTGAGATATTTACCCGAAGATCACGGCTGAATCTGATGAGAGGCAAAAGAGCACTAACAAGATAAGAGGCAATTTTTCCATCCATGAAAGTGAAGTAATCCAACAATTCCTTAAGCCGAGGAACATGTTCCAACATAGGGTAAGGATAACACTGGATGAGATGACAAAGCAGCCTGCATATCAAAACTTATCAGTAACCAAAAATCAAACAAAACTCAACATTTCATTTGTTTGCAGTTACCTTATTATCAGCCTACTCAACTCTGGCTTCAAAGAGAGAATGTGAAACTTGATTTGCTCGATAATCTGTGACAAAGCCTTTAAATCAAGTACTGAAGCAAGTTTAAAGGAAGAAAAAAAGTACCAACTGATAAATTTCAGGGGGGAAGGAGATCATAGTTCCTAATAATTGTTACTAAATGTGCGAACATGTTTCAAACCAAAATTCACAAACAATGGCTAATAGAACATTGAAAGTTGTCAAATGTTCCTCAATTTCTGAAGGAAACTGCATGATACACAAGATTCATAAGATAAGGGGAGAGAGCAGCAAAAGGGAAAAGAACAAAAATGATTACTAGTCTAACCATGGACTTCTATATTTACAACCAAACAATTTCAATTCTCAAGCTTCATTGTCAAATTCTTGATTTTCTTCTCTATCTTTGGTCTTGCATGTTGATAGCTTTATACAAAAAAATACATAGTCTAACCATGATTGCAGAGTTAAACAAACCTCATTTCTTGCCATATCATGAACCTCAAATAGAGTTTTCAGCATCTGAATACCAAGATCTTCAATGCCAAGGAGACCATCAGAAACGCTGAGCACTTTGCAGTTTGCCTCCTCAACTGACTCTAGCAAGATAAAACCAAATTGCAAAATACTAGGCACCATCTGCTCCCTCCCATAGTTGCTCTCATTTACCTAAACACCATCACAATGATACATAATGCAAATTTAGATTTATCATTACATGATTGGAACATAATTCATGGGGGAAAGAAGGAAATTACAGCTCTTAACAAGGACTTTTCGACCACTGTAACACTACTCAGATATTCTTCCTTGATATCATCTGGTATCCATTTGCATTCTCTAAATGAAGGAAAAAATCACATACACATTAATCAACTACTAGCATAATTCAAAGGTTAACAGAAGATAAAAATAAACTTTAAGCAGATTGGTCCCTTACTTGGTGAATTTATAGTCACGGTAAGCTGTAAGCAATGCTGTTTTCAAAATAGCCATTGAGCTTTCACTGAACCTCCGTACCCTTGACACCGACAATAAAACAGCCACCGTGAAATGATTAAAAGCTCGAAGATCTGATTTGACTAGACCCAAAACCTCTTTCCCCAATGAAGGATCCTGCTTCACCGCAAAATTAACATGCAACAAAACAGTCCCCTCAACTTGCCTAACTGTTGAAGCCATTTTTGAACCCGATTTAGACCCAAAAAACCACACAATCCCTTCAAGAATCTCCCTTTTATTGAATCCTTTTGAAGCCAAAACTAATAACTGATAAACAATGGAAGGCAAATCCATCAAATCCACACTTTTAATCCCCGCAAAAACTTTCTCCAAAAACTCCTTCCCTCTCATTTTATCAAGAAAATTAAACTCTTTGGCGATGGAAACCATTTTAAGCAAAAACCCTTTTGACCATTGGGAATCAAAAATCTTGTCCACAATCGAATTCACGTAATCCCCTCCCTTTTCCTCCCCGTTGCGAATAAACTCAAAACATTGAGGCAAAAGATCAAATAGTTGGCAATCATCTACTGTAACAACCACTGGTAGACCTGATACAACCGAATCACTAACTGACTTGAGGTCGTCCAAAGGGATATGGATCAAAAGGGTATGGAAAAAAGTGATTGTTTTGAGGGAATTTGAGTCGTGGGGAAGCGAAGGGAATATTCGAGTGTATGATGAGAGAAGAGAAGAGAGCAAAGAATAGACAGCGGGTGTTTCAGGAGAGAGGGAAATGAGGGAGAGGAGGGAGGTGACGTATTCGGAAACGGCGGAGGAGGGAGAAGGAGAGGCGGCGCGTGAGTGGAGGTAAGAGAGGAGGAGCTTGTGAGAGTGGGGAGAGAGGAGAAACGGAGGCAGGGAAGTGTTGGATTGCTGGTGGCTGTTCGAAAATTGTTTTCGTTGGGCTAAACGGACGATATCGACGTCGTTCAATGGCGGCGCTTCCGTTTCCATGGTGGCCATCGGCGTAATCGGATCCGTTCAGGGAATCTCTCTCACTATCTTTTATCTGTATTTCTCGAGGCGGGAAATTTGGAGTTTAAGCTTTTGCATATTGTCCGGGAAGTGCCATTTAAAAAAATGAGCTAACTTTATATTAAAAATCTCAAATAAATAATTATTTAAAGAAATATAATCATTCAGAAATTATTTGAAAGAGTAATCCCCACATTGTTTACATTGGACGACCACGCAGGTCACAGCCTGTAAATTGCATGTTAAACTCTCGCACCATCCAACACGTGAGATACATTCGACATAAATTCACTTATATATTATCTTATATTCACCTTAAATTTATAAAAAAAATAATGATTAAAATACTTTAAAAAATTAAATATCATTGTGACTACTTATATAAAAAATTAAAATTAAATTTATCATTATTAAATATTTTTATATAGATATCTAGAGCTTACATATGACATAACATTAATAAAAGATATTTAAAGTATCTAAATAGAAATATTAAAAAAATAATATATTTTAAATACTTAAATAAAAATAGTTTATTTTAAATAGTTAATTTGATTAAATATTATTTCAGTGTTTAAATAAAAATATATTTTTAAGTTTTAAAATTTTATCTCTAGAGATATCGAATTCTAATATAATTTATGCAGTGGTATGAGTATTTATTGTCAAATGATTATCAATCATTGAACGGATATTACCTTATATCCACCTCATATTTATAAAAAAAATATAATACATAAAAAGGATAAATTGAATATTTAGTATCCCAACTATCACTTTTATTTCATTTTGGTCATCCATCTATTTTTTTCAAAATCATACCTAACATTATTTTTTAATTTCATTTCACTCACTTATTTTTAAAAAATTAACATAATTGTTGATGTGAAATTTTATTTTTTTAATGAAATCAAAACTAAACATAAGGTATGATTTTGAAAAAGGAATAGTTGATGACCAAATTGAAATAAAAGTCATAGTTACGTACTTAACGTGTATTTTACCCAATAACAAATATCTTAAACAAAACCCATTCTTATCCGAACGGTATTTCATTTTCTTTCCATCTTATCCGAAGGTTACACGTCTACACTTACGTCACAGTTTCAACCATCTATCTAAAACGTAGCCATCAACAACATATCACCTCATCACTTATGTATTCTGATTTATTTAAGGGTAAATTACAATTTTTTCTTTTCTTTATTAAACTTTATCTTTTTCTTATTTTATTTATCGTGTTTTTAATTTTTTTATTTTATTAACTGAACTTTATAGATTGAATTATTTTGCTCACTTTACCATTAATTTTCTAACAGTATGATGACGTGATACAATCATCAAAACAAAATCGTTTTGAAAAACTCAAATATACATCAAAATGATATCGTTTCAAATTTTCGACTACCACGTCATTTTTTATTTCGGCCACCGTCTATCGTTGTTAATGGTGGGCGTTCGGTTTCAAAATTCATAGGTCGGTCCGTCTTGACCCCGTGAGTCCAAATATGATGATTGTTTCATTGGAAAATGTCCCAAAATTTGTGAATCTCGATTTAAATGTTTCGACTTCCTCACTTTTAATCTTCAATTTATGGACTTCGGAGTAAGTTCCGATAAAATAGAGGTCGGATTCAGAATCAAGATGTCGAGGCGAAGTGACCCATGAAATTTGGGATCGAATGACCACCATCACGACGGTTAACGGTGGGCGGCAATGACATCCGAACACCTTCTGTTTTCATTTATAGTTTGGTGAGCAAAACAGGATCGAGAGTAAGCTTTAGTGAGGAATGACGTAATTTACCCTTTATTTTTTAAATTATTTTATATTAAATAATAATAAATGAAACATCATCACACTGTTAGAGAGTTAACGACAGAGTGAGCAAAATGATTTAATCTATAAATTTCTGTAAGCGAAATATAAAAGTTGAAAATATGATGAGTAAAATATGAGAGAGAGTAAAGTTCAACTAGGAACGACGTAATTTACCATTTATTTAAATTAATCTTATTATAGGCACATATATTTAGTGTATATTATTATAATAAAATATGAATAAATTAAGTGACAAATTATGTTATAAAGTCATAAGATATTAAAAATATCATAAAAATAAAAAGTGTAGATATTATTAAAGTTGTATTTATAATTTGATGAGGGTTAGAGTTATAAGTACATACATTAACTTATTCTTAAATCAGTTATATAAAGAGGTTATGGTCCCCAAGAAATAAATCATCTCTTATTTTCTCTTATCCCGCTAAAGAGTTTATACTTAAGGAAATTTTATCTTATTAAAAGACCACAACCAAATATATACTCAATAATTTCAACTTACAATTAATTCAACTACGTTTCCGCATCTAATATTTATGATGATTTGACATGATTAAATTTTAGTTTGTTTATATATATATATATATATATATATTACGATTTGATTCTAATAATAATTTCAATAATTAAAAAATAATTATTACTTTTATAAATTTAGGATTTGAACACATTATTCGTAGGAATATTAAAATATTTATTATTAATTAATTAAAAAACCCGAAAATAATGACTCTAATCTAATAAAAAAATGGCGGGCCATATGCTTACGACGTGGGGCTTTTCTAGGTTAGGTGGATATGATATTGCGGACTTCAAGAGAAAAATAATACTAAAATAATTAAATGAAGTTGGGGCTCCCCATATTTTTATTCCTAAGCAAACCGCGTGGACAACACCGCTTTGGCAATTACCTATGATTGCCTTCTAACAATTCCATGGATTTTGTTATTTATAAATAAAAGAATATCATTACGGGTGGGGGAAAGTGCAGATTTCACTCGCCAGGAAAATCGAGTGAGGATCTTAAACGTTACTTATCCGACATTTTTTTTATTTTAAATTAAATTAATTATAAAATAATATATATTCTAAATATTATTAATTATTTAATAATAAATGTTCAATTATCTTACTGTAATCATTGGTACTCGAACTTGTAGCATTTAAAAACAACAATAATTCTTTTAACCACTAAGATAAGATGGTTCGTGTCATTCAATATCTTATCTAACTATTATTATATTAGTTTTCTTTATTATAAGAATATAGTTTAAAATCTTTTATACATTTTTAATAAAAAATTCATTTATACATTAAATATTAATCGACGCAAATCAACCCATATCATAATATCAGAGTAATTTAATCACTTTCTAAGACGTGAAATAATAAGGATTAAAATTATGGGATTTTACAACACACTTAAAATCATTTTTCTTTTTATTGTCGGCCATGAATTGCTTTCATAATTTAACCTTATGTCGGCTCACCTATTATATATATATATATATATATATATATTCAGTGACCGATTCATAAATATTTTTAGAGTGAAAGTATATATATTAATCACATTAAAAATTTATACAAAGTGGGTACAACTAGAATTTTAGGGTGAACACGATATTAAAATATGTAATTATTCAAAGAATATTCGAATTTCAGGGTGAGCATATGCTCACCCTAGATCCTTATTGGACTTGCTAATTTTTTATTAATATAAGATAAATTATAAGGTAATATTCGTTTAAAGATAACTCTTAATTATTTAATATTAAATATTTATACATTTAACATTCATGATACTCAAATTCGAAATCTTAAACAATTAATTTGTGTAGTTTTAACTTTAAATTAAAATTACTTAATATACAGTAAGTAAAATATCATAGATCTAGCGAGAATATAAAAATGAGTGAAAATTAAAATAAATAATTAAATATTAAAATTTAAAATTTTATTAATTACTAAACTAATATCCAAATATTAAAAATATCAAAGTGCTAAATTTATTAGTTAAATCTATCAAATCAAAGATTAAATATCAAATCAATTCAACTTTTGCTAATTGTTGGTACTATTATTATTATTAGGATAAACTGTATATTTAATCAATTACCTATTAATTTTGTGTTTTGATCACTTAATTATTATTATTTTTTAAATTATATCAAATATTACAATTTAGTTATCCATTGTTAAATTAAATTAGTGATGATGATTTGTCATCATAAGGTAATATTATATCAATATTAAAATATAATTAAAAAAATTCACATTAGTATCACATTAAAATTTTAAGAAAGGATAAAAATAAAATCAAAATGTAACATTACATGTAATATTAAAAAAATAATAAGTTGATGACCAAAAAAGAAACTAAATAATAGGTGGGGACCAAATAGTTAGTTTACTCTTATTATTATTATTATAATAATTATTATTATTATTATATTAATGTGTCTAAAAGCAAGGATTAGCTCAAACGTCATCACTGATTCCTTACACGACACCACTTCCTTTAAATTGCCGTCGGTCAACGAAATTTTCATTTTACTCAAATTTGGATTAACCAACAAAAGGGAAATCGAATCAAAAGCTCCAGAGAGCGTCGAGAATGGGGAGCAAGAACAAGGGAAGAACAATGATTGAAGTTGGAGCTGATGGGGTTGCCGTTATCACAATCATCAATCCCCCTGTCAATTCTCTTTCGTTTGATGGTGATTTTTTTTCCCTCTCATGTTCTTTTTGCTGATCACGTTCGTTTGTGTATTTCTTTCTCTTTTTGGCAATTACCCTTTTCTTTATTATACTTTATAATCCAGCTTTTGAGTTATGGAGTCTCGTTGGATTGAATGATCTTTTTATGCTGAATTTGTTGAAAAAATGTTTTGATTTACAAATGTATTGGGTTTTATTCAAATACAGAGGGAAATATATGTATTAGTCTACTTGACATTCATTATAAGAATAGAGTTTAGAGGTCAACTATGTCACTTAGGCGCTTAGCTTGGCTGTGAATGTCCCTCTATCCATGTTTGATTGTTCATCAGACATGGGTGTCCCTCAGGTATGAGTCAGATACATAATCGAAATGGAATATTCAAATTTTTAAGGTTTGTTTTTTAAGGGTAGTTGAAATTGTGTGCACCTATATCCATGTTTGATTATACCTGTTGGCTCAGGAGTGTGTTGGATATAGCTAATGTATCCGACATGTCTATATTAAAATATTTTAAGTTTTTTTTTTCAAGTAATTGATGGGTGTTTTAAGTGTCATATCTTCATATCCATGTTTGATTACACCTCAGACCTAGGTGTCTCGAGAGAAATGAAAATTCGGAGGAACATAGTTAGGCAGCTTTTTATTCCCTCATATTTTTTAAAGTTTTAGTTATATATAAGTGAGAAGATATACAATTGATCTCTTCTGTCACGTGTATTCCTTACAGTCTTGCACAGCTTAAAAGAAAGTTACGATGAGGCCTTACGAAGAGATGATGTGAAGGCCATTGTTGTTGCAGGTAACTTCAAGGAGATTACCCTTAACAGAAAGGGAAAAGTTGTGCTAAGATATTGTCTTTGTTAGTAATTGTCCAATACCTGAATTCGGTAATTTGTGATAGTAATGTGTTTTGTCCTTTGGGCAGGTGCAAATGGAAAATTTTCAGGTGGTTTCGATATTTCTTCTTTTGGTAGAATTCAAGACGGAAAAGGTATCTATACTATTAATGGTGCACTGCACAGTTGATTGATTTGGTTAAAAATATCGAAAACCAACTTAGCTGACCTCTAATAAATGATAACCAAAAACCGGCTGATTTAAGTGGGTCAGTTCTGTTAATTAACCTAATTAACAGAAAATGAACGAGCCAATCTATCATTTTTTAACATATTTATTTAAGAATATTATACATTTTATTTATGTTTCCTTATAAAAATCTTAATCGTTGGAGAAATGTAATAAAATTTATTATTATTATTTTATTTTTCATATATCTATAATATATTAAATATATTATAATATAAATATTTAAGTTGGCTAATTTGGTCGGTTTCTATTATCGATTATATAAACCAAAAACCGAATTACCATATACAAACCGACTCCTTTAGCGGACTAAAACTGAAGGCCGAACTGAATTATAAGTTAACATGTTTTACCTGAGTTTTGCCCACCATGCTGTTCTTTATGCCCCCTTTCCTCAGTATTTTCTTGTGTTGTTTGGACATTGATAAATTTGGTTGTATTTTCCAGGGCAGCAGCCAAGGTCTGGCTATATATCTGTTGAGGTTCTCACCGACACCATCGAAGGTAATTGCCTTGTTATAATTATTTTTAAACTGGAAATAATTTTGAAGTTGCTTGGATCCGTTTTGACTCTAGCTGCTTTGTACTTCAGCTGCAAGAAAACCATCAGTTGCTGCCATCGATGGCCTTGCCTTAGGTGGGGGTCTAGAGGTTGCCATGGTAGGTATTATCGAACTTATTAGGTGTAAATGAGACATTTGTTTTCTCAAGTTACTCGAGTTCCAACTGGGAAAGAACTCTAATTCAATTTGGTCATTGTTGTGCTGAACTTAAGCTCGATCAGCTTGAACCTATCAAGTGAATCGAGTTCGAGTACAATACTCTATTTGAGAAATTTTCAAGCATAATCGAGCTTTTTGTTTATAATTATTATAATATTAAATTATTGCTTCCCCCTTAACATATACACACCTAAAGTCCAAACCTAAATATGAAATGAGTTCAAACTTGAGCTCGAGTACGTAAATCATGTAAATGATTTTAATCGAGCCGAGTTTGAATTGTTTGATTTTACTTAAAGCCAAGCTTGAGCTTCTATAATTGTATTTTATCAAGCTTGAGCGGAGTTGCGAGGTCAAGCTTCACGTTTGAGCATGGCTCAGCTGACAGGCCTAATTGAACTTTTTCAAGATATTCTCTTGTTTTGTTGGTTAGAAAGAAAAATACAATGTCTCTTTTTCAGGTATGCCATGCACGGATATCGACCCCTACTGCACAATTGGGCCTGCCTGAACTTCAACTTGGATTAATTCCTGGCTTTGGAGGTAAGAATCTTTGATCTGATAGCATATTTATTCTTGTTATCATTATACAATCACGGGATATTGAGGTGAACTATCGATTGTTTGTGTGGTGCTGTTTTTCGGATTATGTAAGATGCTAATTTGATATATTTGCAATATTTACATCTGTATTTGTGCTTTGGGTAACTTCTTTTTCTTTTCCTACCACTAGTGTTCTTATGTTCCTAAATTGATTCAGGAACGCAGCGACTTCCACGGCTTGTTGGTCTGGCGAAGTCCCTCGAAATGATGTTGGTATGTTGTTAAATCATCTTTGTGCTATATCTTACTTTGGGATGACTTGGCCAATGTGGCTACATTGTTAAGTTCTTGTTCACTAACATAGCCATTTCTTCACTTCACCTTTCTCTTAAATAGACTTCGAAGGCAGTTAAAGGCGAAGAAGCCCTTCAATTGGGTCTTGTTGATGCTGTTGTTTCATCTCAAGAGTTGGTAAACACTGCACGTCGGTGGGCACTAGATATTTTGGCACGAAGAAAGCCATGGGTTGCTAGCCTTTATAAAACCGATAAGATCGAATCCCTGGGTGAAGCAAGGCAAATACTTAATTTTGCTCGAGCACAGACTCGGAAGAGGGCTCCAAATCTCAAGCACCCCTTGGTTTGCATCGATGTAATCGAAGAGGGTATAGTTAATGGTCCGAAGCCCGCACTGATGAAGGTCTCTACTTATTCTGAATAGTGTTTGAATAATTTTTTTTGCTAGTCTTTTCATTTGTAGCTATCACTTGACTTCACAACCTTATTTCCGATATTGGCAGGAGGTTGAAGCTTTTGAAAGACTCCTGAAATCCGATACCAGCAAAAGCTTGATCCACGTCTTCTTTGCTCAGCGTGGAACATCAAAGGTCTAATACACAATTAATGGATCCTTTTATTTCATCTCTTGATTTGGTCTTTTTGCTTTTCAAATTGGTTACTCTAATACCAAGGCAACTTTCTTTTAAAATCCATGTTACTCAGACTTGGGTGAGAATCTTGTATGAACTATGCAGGTGTGTGCCTTACACGAGTACACTATTTTCCCCCTAAGATTCCCATGTATTCTAGGGTCTATGGAGGACCATATCCCCATTAACCATGTACGAATATGAGTCAGACACAAGAACTAAAATAATGAAGAGTCGGAGCAACATAAATTAAAATCCTCAAATATTTTACTTGTGGTTTATCGGGCATATAACTTAAGTCTCAAACTTATGGGCTTTAGTTGGATTTTAATTGAAATAAAGTGATTGTTACATTATTCTCTTCAAAGCATCAACTGCTCCGGGCTTCGTAAAATGTAGCCTGTGCTTGGATGCTGCCCCCTAGCCTTTGTTATTTTTTGTTTAATTTTTTACAAACAAATATCTCCTTGCAATGGACAGGTTCCCGGTATTACTGATCGGGGGCTGGTGCCTAGACGAGTGAAGAAAGTTGCCATACTAGGTGGAGGTTTGATGGGCTCGGGAATAGCAACAGCATTGATTCTTAGCAATTATTCGGTGATCCTGAAAGAAGTGAATGAGAAGTTCTTGGAGACTGGGATTGGTCGAGTTAAAGGTGAGATCAGAACTAGATTGTTTTATTTTCATTTCTAATTTCAATTTTGATGTACTTTAATTGTAGAAAGGTGCTTGTTCTAAGACTGCATTTGTTTTTCTTTTTTTTTCAGCCAATTTGCAAAGCCGAGTTAAGAAAGGGATAATGACTCAAGAAAAGTTTGAGAAAACCATCTCTCTACTTAGGGGAGTTCTTGACTTTGAAAGCTTTCGGGATGTGGACATAGTCATCGAGGTAGTTAAGAATGCATTATATGTTTCCTTTGTGGATTAAAAACCAAATAGAAGGTTGAAACCGTTGAGCTTCTCGTTCATTTGGCCACCTTGAGAAATTTGAATATATAAATAACAATTAAGAAAAATAAAAAATGGAAAATATATTTTAAAAGTACGAATAATTCATTTTACTTGTACTTAACCATATTTATATGAAAAAAATCCTCGTGGTTACTGGTTCAGGTTTGTTTTCTATTTTCTAATTCAACTTGTATTGTTGAACTGTCATACCAACCGGTTGAACCGGTCCCTTTGGTCCAGTTTTTAATCCATTGTTTTCCTTTCCTACAATTCATGTGAGGGTTTAATATGTTAACCATTTGTTTATAAACCTTATAACAGGCAGTAATCGAGAATGTTTCTCTGAAGCAACAAATTTTTGCTGATCTTGAGAAATATTGCCCACCACATTGCATACTTGCAAGTAACACTTCCACTATCGATCTGAACTTGATCGGTAAGAGTACTAAATCCCAGGATCGGATTATCGGGGCTCATTTCTTTAGGTAATATCTTTGTCTACAGTAACTATTTTTCTGCTTTTGCTGTTTCCTCACTTATATGGTTTAATTGTCAAAATATCTATATAATGCAGCCCGGCTCATGTCATGCCATTATTGGAAATTGTTCGTACCGAGCATACATCTCCCCAAGTAATTGTTGACTTGCTTGATATTGGGAAGAAAATAAAGAAGACTCCAATTGTTGTCGGAAATTGCACAGGTTTTGCTGTCAACAGGATGTTCTTCCCGTATACGCAAGCAGGCCTTTTCCTTGTTGAAAGGGGAGCAGACGTTTACCAGATTGACCGAGTAATTACTAAGTTTGGAATGCCAATGGGTCCATTTAGGTACCTAACTCTGGAAAAATATGGCTTGTTATTTTCATTCTTGCTGGTGCAGTGAAGAACTTTGATGTGCCCGCGAACCGGACTTAGTAAGTTTCTTATTTATGCAGATTGGCTGACCTTGTCGGCTTTGGTGTTGCAATTGCCACTGGCTCACAGTTTGTTGAGAACTTTCCCGAGCGAACCTATAAATCAATGCTTATCCCAATTATGCAAGAGGATAAGAGAGCAGGTGCCATTTTTGGTTGAGCCTTAGGTGACGAACAAATTACATCTTCTAGCATATCTTGTTAATTATATCTGACTTTGTTTCAGGCGAAAGCACTCGCAAAGGGTTTTATTTGTACGATAATAAACGGAAAGCTAGTCCTGATCTCGAACTAAAGAAGTACATTGAGAAGGCGAGGAGCATCTCTGGTGTAGCTGTTGACCCTAAGGTCAGTCTGTCTTCATGGATTTCAACCCAGAGCTTGGTCTGGCAGTTCAATCATATAAACGGATTCAAAAAATTAGAGAATTGTCTGAAACCAGTTATTAGCTGGTAAAATCATATTTTTAAAATAAATTTTGGATTGTTTTAACAAAAAAGATGGGCCTTTTCATTCTCAGTTCGTTTTTCCTAATATTTCTTTTCCTTAATATACCTTATCTTGAAATTGCTTCTACATTTTCAAGATGGTTGAACTATTCAGTACAGTTGCCATGATTGTTGGAACTGGTCGGCCAGTTGGACTTGTGGTGTAAAACTGGTAATCTTTTGACCTGGTGTGAACTGTTAAAAAACAGCCAGTTGGATTGTTGAACCGTTGTTCACCGGTTGAATCGAGAACCATTCGTCTGACATGTTCGACCGCCGGCCTAGTCAAACATTGCAATTGGCTGAACTAGGAACCAGACCGGTGTGATCTCTAGTTCACTTTTTTTTTTTAATTTGTGTCTTGTCTCCTTGCTGGAAAAATTGAATTTTGCGTCTCATATTTTAGTTAGCATGTTCTATACTCACATCTATGATATCTATGATATCCATTGATAATCAACATTCTAAAGAGTAGAATCTAATCCTTTTCTTTTTCATCACACTTTGTTGATCTCGTATTTTTGGGATTGCGCTTTTACACAGCTTGTGAAATTATCGGAGAAGGACATTGTGGAAATGATATTCTTTCCGGTTGTGAATGAGGCTTGCCGAGTTTTTGCTGAAGGTATTACTGTGAAAGCAGCAGACCTTGACATTGCCGCTGTTATGGGCATGGGATTCCCAGCTTACAGGTTTGTAACTTTGTCTAGTATTCATTAACCCTTCTCGGACTTCCATCAACTATCTGTTTCTCGATATAATAACTTGCTTTAAACTTTTCACAGGGGAGGAATCATGTTTTGGGCTGATTCTCTTGGATCTAAGTACATCTATTCAAGACTAGAGGAGTGGTCGAATTTATACGGAGGATTTTTCAAGCCTTGTGCCTTCTTGGCCGAAAGAGCTGCAAAGGGTGCTCCATTGGTAAGCATACACGAAAGCTATACATATTTTTCTATACTATTTGGAAGGCAACTTCATGAGTTTATTGCTTGCATTAGAAGCATTGTTGGCACCCACTGATTATCCTATGCCTCAATCTTATCATGGCATTCTTTTTTTCCCCGCTCATTAAAGTATGGGAATTTCTCAACTCTTATTAGTCCGAATGTCGATAACTTGGTGTTAAAGTAACTTAAAGGATTGGGATAATTCATATGGTCCCTCCTTTACGCATTGTGATATCCCTTGTGCTTGTCCTGTTTACCCTCCAACTTTCACCAAAGAACAGGCATGGTCTAGGATATTAGCCATTAGGTTGCTTTCCACTTCACTCAATCCGCTGTGTGTCCATACGGATTATCCGACACAGGTATGTACTGTAGAGTATTTCCGTGCGTGCTTGTATCCGGATATGCGTTAGACACGGGTAGTTCATGAAGTGTCGGAATATAATATCTTTCGACGGTTTGATATCGGAACACTTTAATATCTTTTCGACCTGATGATTGGAACTGTTCCATTGCAGAGTGCACCGGTGGAGATAGGAAAATCTAAACTATGAAGCTGCTTTGATTGCACTGCTTAAAGATGGCCATTTGATGTTCTCTTTTTCCTGCTTCATTCTCCATCGATAGATAGGTAGATGAACTTTCAATAATGTTGCTTCAGATAAAGAAAAGAAAAGGGAGATTTGTAACTAACGTTTCAGCATATGAATCCTTTATCATATTTATTTTAAAGTAATATTTGGAGAATTGATTGATATTTATTTTAATAGGTTTTTATCTTCCATTACTAACTTTGCACGTAATTGCTTGTGTTAATCTCTCCATATATGACACAAAGATGTAGATCTCTCCATATATGACACAAAGATGTAGATCTCTCCATATATAACACGAAGATATATGGGGTCACCCTCTCTCGTAATTTATTGATTCTTAAAACTTCGCATACAAAATCGTAAATGCTATACCCCACCACACTCTAGTTTCTTTGGTAAACTGAGCGTGCAAGCCGTCAACTCCTGGTGGTTTCAACGGTGCCATCGCCCGAACCGTCTCCCTCACTTCATCAACTAGGAGATATTATTTGTCTAAATCTTCTTGTCGTGCTTTAGAACTCTCTTACCGTGTAATCATGTTGGTCATTTCTGAACTAGTGAAAGTTCACGGAAGAAGCTTTGCTAGCCTCCTCAGCTCATCTTGCTCGGAACATCATTTATTCTCTGGTGTTTCGAGTGCTAGTATCGTGCTAACCTTTCTTCGGCCCAGGGTGCAAGCGTGAAAGAATTGTGTTCTTACCTCTAAATAATTCCGTTGATTCCGAACTTTTGGTACCAAAGCTCTCTTGTTCCATATCGTATTTAAGATGACGTTCTAATTCAACAAGGAAGGGAGGTAAGTTATGCTTTATCAATTCCCCTGAGCCTTGCTATCAATTCATTCATCTCCTTTCCTATGCAGCCCTCTCATAAGACATATAGGTCTATGGGTGTATCCAGCCTATCTAAATGCCGGATGATTGAATTAGGGATAATTTTTATAATAATTCATTAATAATATTTGTCTATAAAATATTTACAAAAAAACCCTTAAATTCTAAATACATTATAGTACAATACTTTTAAATGGAAGGGTAGCAAGGCATGGAAGAAAAAAAAAATTTAGCCAAATTATGAGATCAAACTGACATTTTATCAAAATTTTAGAACTAAATAAATATTTTATCTAAAACTCAATATTCAGATTAAATGTTATTTTTGATGTGTTACATCATCAAAGTAATATGAGTTAACAATAGAGTGACCAAGTTTAAATAATAAAATCTAGACAATATTAAAACAAAGGTGACCAAAGTTGTTAACCGTATTTATCCAAAGAAAAACATGCAATACAGCCTAGTAAAAGTTCCAAGATTCAGCATAGTTTAGAGTAGTCAAAATGAAATGCATGTAACAATCAAGATATCGCACAGTGATCAAATTATCCAAACAATGTTTTCTTCTCCACCTGACAAAAATAGTACCAAGATATTGTCTACCTTCCCACATTTTCAACAAAAAGAATCAATTCTTCCTCTTCTCAATCGATGTTTTCGCTCTGCTTACCTGTTTATCGGTGCTCAAAGAGGACAGGGTGGAACCTCAAGGGTTGTCCCAGCTTGGATTTGGCCCCATCCGATCAGACGCCAATGCTTCTCAACACGCCGGCTTAGTGCAATCTTCTCTCCCTTGCTGGTGCATACAGGTGATGTGAGTTGCAGCTTTGCCAGATCATTCTTTACAGCTATGACTCGAGCACCGGTTGACATAGACCCGATATTCAACATTAGGATCTCTCCCTTGGCCAGTTTCGACACCTTTCCTTGCCTCTCTGAGCCCTTCGTCCTAACACCAAGAAGCCTTCGGAGAAGGAAGAAGTTTACCTGCACAGTTAGAACAGACAACGATCTGGAAAATGACAGCAGTCGGCAATTTTTTTTTTAATATAGTTTTTCCATGAAATAACCTATGCTACTCAAGATTTTTTGGTCTAAAGGGCAGATACAATCTGGTAAATTTATATTCATTTCTATAGCTTTTCCGTATTTTTGGAGGGCCGTATCCACATCCCATGTCCAAATATAAGTAGAAAATAGATATTTCAAGAAAATAGAAGAGTCGGATTAACATCTTGCAAAAGAAATTTAACACCTACCTCGAGCTCAACATAAACTTCTGGGAGTGACCCAACCTCTCCAAGGACTTGACCCACCAACCTATCCGCACGTGTCAAAGTTGGATCCATAGTTGTTCCAACACCAATTAGACCTCCCGGAACAGCATATTGTAGCTCATTTTGTTCAGCATACAATGAGACTATTCTGGAATATATGGGTGTGCATTTGATGTTTCCGCTTTCATCCTTAACAACAATCCCAGGACGAACTTCAATAAATTGGTTCACCTTCAAAACACCCTGAAACGAACTAACATTAGCTAAATAACCATGAATTCAAAACCAAAGCTACTGAAGCTCACTAAATCAGGTCTCTAGCAACTAGCTTTTCAGTAAAAGTTGATCTAGACAAGCATGAACAAAGAAAATAATATGGCACAGTCTAGGGATTATGGTAAATAAAACTTTGTATAGAATGTAGCATTCATATCTAAATAAAGACCAACAACTACATTCCGGATAAATACATACCCTAAGTATACTTCCACCAGCAACACCACCTTTAATCTCATCAACCTCAAAACCAGGCTTATTGACATCAAAAGATCGGATGACAATCATGTTAGGGGGCGAGACAAAGTTTCGCTCGGGAATAGGGATCTTCTTAACAATATACTCGCATACAACATCGATATTATATTTTAGTTGTGCAGAAATAGGTACCACTGGTGCACCATCAGCAACGGTACCCTGCAATGGATTATTTTCCGCAAAGATTCAGAAGAAAAACAATAATGAAATATCCATCCGGCTTTGGAAAAAAAATAAATAGAAAATAACCTGAATAAATTTTTGTATTGCTTCATGTTGATTAATGGCAACATTCTCTTGAATAAGATCAACCTTGTTTTGAAGAATTATAATATGCTGGAGTCTCATGATTTCAACAGCGGCCAGATGCTCAGAAGTTTGAGGCTGCGGACAGCTTTCATTGGCAGCAATGAGAAGTAATGCACCATCCATGATTGCTGCTCCATTAAGCATAGTAGCCATGAGAATATCATGACCCTGATGGAAAAATTGAAGATAAAACATAAATCCAAATACAACAAAATACAAAACTTATCTCTCTAAAGCAATATGTTAATCCCTTTTATAGCACTGAAAGGAGTAATGATCAAATGAGAGACTCGGGAAAAATTAAAAACTATCCCCAAAGCATAGCACTTAGGACCTTACTGGGCAATCTACAAAAGACACATGTCTCAGCAACTTCATCCTACAATTTTCAAAGCCAGACACATCACAAAGAGGACTATCCTCCTTTCCGCTACCATATGCCCTAACAAAAAGAAGAGAGAGATCACAGTTACAGTTATTAGTAATGTCATTAAATAAATGTTAAAAAAAGGGACCAGAGGTCAAACCAGGCCTCTAATTACCAGTTCAACCATTTGGTTGTATTAAAAGAGTATTTTTAATATTAAATAAATAAATAGTATAATAAATGTTAAATAAAAAAATATGTATTTGACCAAATGGAAAAAAATTCATATAAACACATAATAATTTTTTTTATTAAAAAAATAAAAGAAGGTTTAAAACCAGTATTTTAGAATGGTTTCTTTGCTGGTTTTTACTGATTCAACTGGTGTGTTTGTCCGGTTCAAAAACAAAGCAATTTGATGCACATTACACACTGAACCAAACAGTTCACTTATTCCAGTTCGACTGGTTAATCCAACCCAGTTTTTTAAGCATTGCATTAAATTGACTAAGAAAACAATTGCCGGATATCAACCTACTTGTAGCACATAGGACGAGGGCATCGCTCATCTTCACATTTGTATATCTTTGCATTTGCATATCCAAGCTTTATAGTAATATTGCGCTCCAATTCATTCTTAAAGCGAACAGTCTACAGTAAAGGCAAAAATAAGTCCAAGCTAAGTGTATTAAGTTTAAACTAACGGCAACAGTAGTCACCACACAAAAGGCACAAATTACTAAGCAAATCCTCAAAAGGTCAGTTATCATTTCCTAGTACTGTATCACCCATTAAAATAATCACCTGAACCCCAGATATTGCTTTCACAACTGTTGACTTCCCATGCGCGACATGCCCTATGGTGCCTAATAAATTGCATTCCGAATCAAAAGATTGATCAATGAAGGTCCTGGAAATAACAACTAGGAGATTGAACAGTAATGATACATGCTACAAGTAGTTTGACCGAAAGGAATTCAAGCATTACCAATATTTATAGTAGCTTGACGTGATATAACTTCAGGGGAGAGCGGATGCAACTTAGTTACATCCAGTTTACTTAAGTCTTGCTCCATCAAACCTTTCTTCGACATATTTTTTGCTCCAGATAAAGTACCTTATGTTTCGGTTGAACTGTAACCAGAGCATATCCCCCCAAAAAAAAGAGATATTTAACTAAATGTATTAGAAAGAGAGTAGCTAACTATAGAAATGCTGGAAATTAAACAACCCTAAGAAGTCAAATTCAAATCAATGCTACAGAACAAACGAAGCATAAACACGGAAAAAGTAGAGTTTGGACGAAATTCCTATAGTTGGCGAAGCTTTTGATCTGAGCCTCAAATAACAGTGAGGGAATGTTGGTTTTGAAAGATCAAGTACAAATTTGTTAAGGAGCATGATTCTGATTACTTAAGCTCCTAATTCACTGCACAAAAACCCTAAATCCAATAAACCCTGACTAATTAAGTTCCTAGTTCACTGCACTCAAAACCCTAAAATCAACCACGGTTAATTAAGTTCCAAGTTCACAACCTAGCAACCCTAAATCCAATTACAGTTGATTGATTTAAGCTCCCGAATAATTGCCCAGAAACCCTAAATCCCATATACCCAACAAGTTCAAAATTTCCAACTCTTAAGCTTGAACCTTCAGACTCGATGCAAACAGAAATTCTCCCCAAACAGAACAAAAAATGGAGAAATTACAACACCAACAACGAAATTTTAAGAACAAACATGCAAAACAGAAACCAGCAAGACAAATTTTATTATAAGATCATAAAAGAAATATATTAGAACAAGATCACGAAAAGAAACAAGA